AAAGCCACCTCATTTAAATACATCAAAAAATCAATGAGCCACAGGCTAGCTGGAGGGGAGAGGAGAGGCTTACCTAATGGCAGCGTCTGCATGTAACCAAAAAGTGAAACTCCTCTTTTTATGGATTGCTACTCCCCATCGCTTCAGAGTCATGAAGGGCCTGATTTAACAGAGCTCTGAGAAACCATGCTGGACTTGTAAAGCGGTGAGACAACTGTACGTGCTCAGAAGAGATGCAGGGATGGATTGGCTTACACATCTATTAAGCATATGTTTTAAGTCCTTTTCCGACTCAGGGTCTGACCTCGCTCCCGTGTGAGTTAACATCAGTGCAAGTCTTCAAGACCAGCAGAACCAGGTATTCTGTTGCTTGTAAGCAAAGGTACAAGCTGGAGTCCTAGAAAGGCAGAAAGTACAAATCTGGAATCGGTTATAAGGACACTTTTTAGCTGGGTATCTGGCTATTTTTCAACATGTATTTCACTCAGCTAAGAAAACTGGGGAAATGCTATTTGATACTGCACTTTTAAATCCTGCTTGGAAGACAGGTGCTGCTTTGAACCCACAGTATGGAAGATAACGGCAAGCTGGATTCCTGAGATGAATGCGAGGCAGATTAACTCCAGACCACAATAATGTCATCTTCTCCAGCAACATCACTGTCCTGGGATATCGAAGGCAAGCCAAAGTTCACACACTAGTGCAAGATACTGCTAGCTAGTTTTCAGCCAAAACAAAACATCCAGACATGGGTTTTGATGTATTTTACTTAGAAATTAGTGTTCAGATTGCTTTTGGCAAACATGCGCTATCTCCAGCGTTCATCATCGGGGGCTCTGATCCAGCTGCATGAGTTTGTGCCTGCTTGTGGGTTGCCTGACGTTAGCTACCTGCCTAGGAGCACTGCAGACTGTGTTTCACCATCACTTTAAGGAGACAATGCAGTGGGACAGCCTCTGAGAGGCGCAACTCTACCCTGCTTCCATCTTCGCTTCCACTTCCAACCTCCAAAGTTGGCCCAGCTCCTGTCTGTGCAGGGGGTTGGACCAACAAGCTGGATGAACACGTTTTAAACGGAATGCGGCTGCCCCAACGTTTGCCCCAGCGAAGCAGGGTGCAAAAGCAGAACGCGCAGCAGAGAGAAGGTGCTCCTTCTCTTGGCACTGTAGAGGCCAGAGAACTGCAGTGGATCTTGGCCATTGCCACTGCAGTGACTAATTACAGTGTTAAAGCAGTGCTTCTTTCCCTGGAGATCTGCCATGCTTTGAAGAGCTGGCTCCAGCGCTGTTGGATTTCTCACAGGGAACCTCCTGTGTCGTATAAAGTCTTCCCCTCAACTCTAGCTCATGCTTGACTTTTGTTATCTGCCAGGGATGGCTGAGACACTCAGCTGTTATAATTTAACGCTGCTGTCCTGCTAGCTTTCCCAGGTACCCGAATCTAACTCAATTGAAGTAAACGACAGTCTTATCAACATCATGGACTTTGAAGCAGGCTCCAGCTACGGGATTGATCCAATATGTAAATGCCAAGTCTGATTCCAAGAAGGGAAGAAAATCATCTGCTCAGATTCTTTAAAGACGTGCAGATGTATCTTGGCGTGCTAACTGGAAATGAAGGAATTTCTCAGGGAGAACGTTAAATAATTCTCAAAATAATTGTTAACATGCACGACACAACTCCCATCCCACCTCTGTCACTCACTCAGGTTATGGTTTACCCACAGCAGTAAGCTGTTAACCAGTTTGTACTATTTGTGGTTATACCCACTGTTCTTGGAAACAAAGATCAAATTAGTGGCTGGCTTCAGAAGTTTAAAATAAAAATTTGATGTCAACGTGTGCTGGTCACTCTTGTGTCCACCAAACATCTGTGTTCAGTGACAAGGCGTTTTAGAAAGAGATCGAGGGGGCATTGTTTGGGACATAAACTGGGCCTAAGCCCAAGAAAAAGATCTAGACAGCCTAAGCTCCATCACCACCTGCTGCTGGAAGCACTGACATCTACCAGCATGCAAATTTCATTGATCAAATTTCCTAAGCACTCCCGTGTAAGCTGCACACCTGGATTCCTTGATCTCAGGACATCCGAGACAGGCTCTGCTGCTCTATTCACATCCCTCTGGATCCAACAGACACATGCATAGAGCATCCTGTGTGAAGTTTTAGGGTGATTTCAGCAGATCAAAGACTGGCTGCCTCAGAGCGGGCACCAAGGCTGTGAACAATACCCAGGACTAACAACCTCAGACAACATCTTAAGCGTCTGCCAGTGATAATGTCCCATGGCACTGGAAGACTTCCGGAAATGGAGGCAGGAGCGGTGCCATAGTCACACCTCTGTCAATATTTTGTCTGCAAAACAAAGGCCCAAAGCTCCAGTAGTAGTTATCTAGGATAAAGTCAAGATAGGAAGAGAAAGTATAGGTTAACATCACCTTTACATCTTCTGTCCTCCACAGAGGACAGTCCTGACTACAGCAGGGCTCGTTGAGGACCCTCAGCAGTACCTCACATCAAGCCTTTTCCAGCACTCTTTTCGAGCTCAAGAAGCACCACAGGGCCTCAAGTACTTTCTGAACCAAAAAGAGTCTCTCCCTGGCTCACACCAGGATTTCTTGGCAGCTCAGGGCAGGTAAAAAGCAACAGCAGGGTACAACCAAGCAAAAACCTTTCTTTTGTTAGTTTTCATTAGAGATAGCCAGAAACTTCATGACAAAAACCGACTAGAGACAGGGAAAACATTGAACTTACTTAGGCAAGTTCCTCCTGCAGGTACCTTTCACATATAACCCCCTCATACCTGCTGCCTTGCGTACCATGAATGCTTATGCGCTACAATTAATGACTGTTAATTGTATGCATTTCAAAAAGGAAAAGAACCTTTTGTGATTTATCGGTCCTTCTGAATTTGCCGTTAAAAATATTTACCAAGGCGGAGTGCTTGAATACCTGTCTATCTCCGAAGCTGTCAAAAATTCAGGAAACATCAAAGAGGCTCTGTTTCAGCCCTAAAAAGAAAGGAAGTAATTGTAGCTGTGGTATTGGTAAATCCACGAGGGTTTTCTGTTAATATCTCTAGCTACCACACAACCACAAGAGCTGTCATGATAGGCATTTATATGCTTTTTTCTTTTTGGGTATAACCATCCAAGCTAAAATACCCCATATGCTAAAAGACTGATGCTTAATACTTATTTCCAGATGTGCTCTGGTTTAGTTAAATATTTAACACATTCCTAGAAGTATAATTGCATTAACACTTCAGAAGAATGATGTCCTGCTGAGTAAAGGGAAAGATACTATAAGGCTGGCTGTGTAACCTGCTCGCCCCAGCGACTGGCTGAAATAAGACGGGGTGCCTCCGAAACCCCTCTGTGATGACCACTCATCGCTGTGGATGGCATTTGAACAGCTGCACATCCACAACCCCCAGAGCATCCCCAAGTGATCTTCCCAAGGCCTCAACTAAGTGACATTCCATCAACTGCAAACAAAGTACCTATTTAAATTCAAATATATTGCAGCAAGATGCACGTCACTTGATGGATTTAATTGCTGAATTCTGTGCTGTCAACAATACACATTTTTGCCTTTTTCTCCCTGCATTTCCAGCAACAATTGCTGAAAACACAAGAGTTGAAAATCAGATGGATCCCTGAAGAAGAGATGGAGAGAAAAATAAGAACATGAAATCAATCCTCTAACAAGATGCCTGGTTCTGGCCCACGCAGGTATTAAAAGCATTGGGAGTAGCTGAACTTTCAAGCAGTAAATTTAACTCGTGTGGTCTGACTAAACAGTGCTCAGAGAAAGATTCTGAATGAGTTTTACGCAAGTATCTCAAGGAATGGGAAAGAATGCACACACTCCTTTCAATAGTCCCATCCTTAACTTCAGAAGAACAGACAAAGTAGTGAGAAAATGAAAACCTGTTGACATGTGCTGAGAGGGGAGGAGTGAATAGGGAGCTTTTCTCCAATCCACTCCACAGCTGCTGCGGGCAACAAAGCCTGCTGAGTAACCAACTCCCAAGGAGCAATAGGAAATAGTGACAAGGATCAGCAACATGCTCAGAAGGTACTCCACACCCCCCTACGTGATGGCATGCAAGGGTGACCTTGTAAGATGATGTGTCCACGTCTGCAGTTGTAAACCAACATCCAGGGCATGTTCAGGCTAACTGGCACAGCATGAAATCATCCATGCAATTAAGCTCCAGGGTTGGCCACAGCCCACTGCCCATGGAACATTCCCAGTGTCCCTGGCCTACACTAATCCACAAACCTGGAGGCACTTTGCAGCAGCCACATGCTCAGAGTCCCAACCAGGGCATTTCTAAAAACTGACCAGAACAAGCAGCTGAGGTCCAATGGTTGTGATGTGCGACACACAGCCTTCCTCAACCATCTTCCACAAGGCCTGGGCCAAGGCAGGGCTGTGATGTAACTCAAGACCTCCAGCCCACTGTGTACAAGTCAGCAAATCGAGGGAAAACGCACTATGCATTGATCACAATTACCCCGCACAGGTCTTACCTAATACAAATTACAGGCTTGAAAAATGAAAGCAGCAGCATGGGAAGGGAAGACAGACAATTTATCAGAACCACAGAGACCTGGGATAGGGGAGGATTCCACTTTAGTCAGAAGACAGGCATTTTATTTCATAATTATTTTCTAACATTCCAGGTTTATTCAAAAGACATTTTTCTGCAGGCATGTTATCTTGTGGACCTTAAGACTGATAAAACACTAGGAAAAATGTGATAATCCTAGCAAATGAAGACATGGCTAAAATCATAACAGTGTGATTTTTTTCTTTTTCCTTTTAATAAAATTTTGGACATCTCAATCCCATTTTTAATACTGGCCAAAGCCATTCATACCTAGGCCATTTGGAAGAGTCCCTTACAGAACAAAACTTGACAAGATGCAAACAGCAGACTACATTTCATTTCTGCAACTGATGGCAAAAGCTGCTGGAGATGTATCATACACTTTAAAAATGTTGCATCAGCGACGAATGGAATTCTGTGCTTTAATACTTTGCCTGAAAAGTCTCTTTATCCAACATGAAGTCAGCAAATCTCTGCTGGAGCTCCTTTTCTCTCTCCTGCTGTCGCTGCACATCTTCCTTCAGACACTGAAAGGAAAACAAAATTCAGCAAGGAGTCAGTTCTTCTAATAGTCACACTCATGAAGATCTTTAACAAAGGTTATATTTTAGTTCCTTTAGAGAAAGGGGTCAGAACTGAGACAGAAGACCGCTAGAATTATTTACTGTAAATATAAATGCAAACCAGTTGATGTGCAATATCAAGAATCGCAGTTTTCTTACTTCAAATATTACGTATCTTACCCAGGTTTTGACCTCAGTTAATAGCAAATGCTTCAAAAGGAGAGATTTCTACTTGGAAGCTTGATGCAAGTAGCTTGTTGTATTTAACCATTATTCATGGATTCTTCTTCCATGAGTTCGTTCAAAACCGTTTTTTAGCTAATTAGCCCCACATCCTGCAATGAAACTTTCCACAGGCCTTGTTGCACTAACTACACAGTGTGGGAAGGAGAACTACTGCTTGTTCTAAAACTGCCAGCTGCTGGTTCATTCAATCTTCCTCTTGTATCAGAAGAGAGTAAATGTATTCTGAGGATTAGCCTGAAGTAAAGTGCCATTTATTAAACCCACGTGCTATTAGTAGCTATCAAGCTATTTAATATATTTTTACTGTTAACTTTTCCTAAATCAATTAATCACTTTTTAGTCTGTAAACACATCTATCAGCATTTCTAAACCATCCTCACAAAGACAGTATTATGAACTGATACATTTTATCTTTTTAATCAAAGTGATACCAAGTGCTAGAGAAGATTGAGACTCAATGGAACCCTCTCTTCTGGAAGAAAAAAAATAACTTAAAATTGTGCTCAGATGAGTACTTATTTCTTGGAAAGCAAGCCTGGCACTGGCTCAAGCCTAGGACTGAGTCTTGGTTGAGGGTTGCCTTAGCTGAATAAAGGAGAGAAGAACATCGTGGAGATACTTAAACTAAGAAAAGCATCTCAGAGTCATGGTTTTCAGGTATCTCAGTGTTGCCGTTTCTGGTAGTTCTGGGCTGCAGTTAGGGCTGTTTAAGAGAAAGCAGTATCTTCTTCCTCAAAGCCATGCCAACCAGTTAGAGGCTGGTAAGGCAGGTGGTGTTATCAGGAGCAGTGGTCTAGATCACACATATACACATTTTTAGCCAGCAACAGGACTGCAGGCAAAGGGCCTTAACTCTGAGAATGGCTCAAAATTAAAATTACAGAACTGCTCAGCTTCTGAAACTGAAAACCATGTTTAAAGCAAGTACTGAAAGTGGGTTGTTGCCCTGATTTATAAAAGTCCAGGAATCTGCAAGTCTGACAACAACAACATACAGCTTCAGGGAGGAATACAGTGAACGTGAAATAAAGGAGATTCTCCCATAGTACATACCAGCATTTGAGCCACTGACTTTTAAGGAAGCAGGAGGCTTTACACAGGTTTCAGATCTACCCTATGTTCTTACAGTAATTAAAACCAAAATGAGCCAAATTAAGATAGATATAGAACTTTTCCCACTATGCACTGCAGAAGATTAGTAAAATAAACCACATGAGGAAATAGAAACAAAGTTAAAGAACACACCAGTAGATTAATCCCAGCTTGTTACAGGCCACAGAATCTCTGACATTGAAGCAAACAGCAGAAAAGTCTGGTAATAGCCAAAAGTGTAATTTAAGAAGACCATTAAAAACTTGATACAAACTCAGGCTGTGAACCTCAGAGCCCACGCGTTGTAAAAACATCTTTTCCACAAAGTGCCTGTATTTGACCTAAGGCATTACACTGAGGAATCTCACCTCCAGCCTCCGTGGGATCGCAGCATCTTCATGTTTCTTCAGCTCCTCAAAAGTACGTAGCTCCAGATGTGCCTGTTCGATTTGGTCCCACAAATCATTCAGTTGTTTGATGAGGCCCATTGCTCGAGACTGATAACCACCAAGCAAGATCTTCAGCTTCTTCTCCATCTTGGCAGCCCTCTTTGCTTCAGTTGTCATGTGACCTCTGTTTATCTGTCAGAAGGAACCCCAAAACTGTTTTATTGATCCAGAATTCAAAAGTTAAGAGGAAAAAAAAAGTAAAGATGAACCTGTGTAAGTGTATAGAGTTGACAAGAGTTCTTTGCTTACCGTTAACAAATCATACTGTACATTTTACAACCACCTCGATTTCTGGATTAAAACCTCTACAACGTCAATACATTATTCCAGATGAAGTCCACTAGCCAAAGCAGGGGGCGATGACACACTAAATGAGTGTGGCTTTATAGACAGCAATTACTGCAGTTGCTGAGCTAAGGAAGCAGCCCAGTCACAAGATAACTTGCTCCACCACCACTCACTTACACTGGGGTGTTCTTTGCCTTAGTAAAGAAAAACTAAATAAAGAGATGATGTTCTTCCTTTTTAAAATTTACATTCTTATTCTGCAAAACCAGCCACGTCCTGCAATTCTTCTGCCTACCCCAACAAAACTCATTTAATCATACTCTGTAAAATAAAAAAAAAAAGCAATTGGGAATGTTAAGACAGCCCTGAATCTGTCTGTGTAGCAGAGACCGTTTAGTCAGGTCTGTCTGGCAAACAAATGGCAACCTGGGGGCACAGAAGCACTGTAAGGAGCAGCAGAACGACTATTAGAATGGTGGCTACATCCTACCACCTACCTGTATGAGCTGTCTCAGGACAGCCAGGTCAGGAGAGAAAGGATTGAGACTAAACCCTGATAGCTCACAGGGATGGGACAGGATGGAGACACAACTCCTGCCTGCTTCTAAAATGTATGAAAGGCATATCCAGAAAAGAACTCCAAAACCAAACCAAAACATGGTCACCGTTCTGAGAAGAACCCAGGCGCCGTGATAACTCAACAGGCAATAGTGACCCATCACTGATGTTATCACGAAGCATCCTACAAAGACCACTTGGGTTCAAACTTCCCAGAAGCTGAAAGCTGGACAGATTATTTGCTTACGCGTTCCAGGCAGGTTGGATGGGGCTTCAAGCAACCTGATGTAGTGAAAGATGTCCCTGTCTGTAGCAGGGTGGCTGGACTAGGTGATCTTTAAAAGGTCCCTTCCAACCCAAACCTTTCCATGATTACGTGTCTTAGTGTTTGTAAACGTGTGAGTATGAGATGCAAATAAGTGAAACTGGTTTTGTCTTAAAATAAAGTAACCTTCAGTTTTACTACACTGCTATAATGTTGTAACATCATTCCCTCCTACGCCATACCCAAAAAACCTGGAGCTCCCCAGTGGCCTCTTGAATAACGCTGCTTTTCCACAAGGTTTTTCCTTTACAGATCTCATAGCAAGAAGGTAAGATTATCTCTACCTAGCAGACAAATATTGAGAGAGCACAATGAATCAGCTGCCTGAGGTCAGTGGCGAAAGCCAGAAGCAAAAACTCACAATTTACAATCCAACAGCGTACACAACAGCTGTGACAGAGTGATGAGATTAAAATGCCGTATCAAAACCACAAAGCAACTGGCATGTTTGGTTCGGGAAGAAGTCCTTCCCCAACCATTCTGGTAAGCACTACCCATACGCTCTGGATGGAGAAGTCACAGTTTCCCCAAAGTTGTCCAGGCCAGTCCGCTGAAACCATAATCCAGACATAATCCATAAACAAACTAGTGATACAAATCACAAAGTTCTCCCGACTGGGACACAAGGCAAATAAACATAATTGTGTTAACATGTTATAAATGTTTCATTTAACATTTATAAATTGCAAAGGTTACAGAAGCCTTTGCATATTTTATACAAATATTCAGTGGAGCAAAATTAAACGGGCAGGAAAAGCACGGAACAGCCGCCAGCGTTTTTAAAGCCTGATAGACAGCATCAAGGAAACCTTTAACACCGAATCACAAACTAACAAGTAACACAGCAATATGTCACAGAGCAAAAACTGTGGAGAGGTGTAGCATTTCACATCTCTAAATGTGGACATACAGTTCCTAGTCGGGTTTTTTTAATGCTACTTCCTTTAAAAAAAACCCAAACAAATACCCTTTTTTTTCAGAAAGTATTGTGTGGAAGATGCCAAACTGAACAAAAAAAGTGATCTGACTATCCAGACTTCGATTTTTGCCACAGTTAAAGTTATATTAGTGCAGGAGAAGAAGAAAAATGTGCAAGTTTCTCAAGTCTTAAAATATAAAAGCTTAACTCAGAACACAGTGCCTAAACCACCTATCTGGCCTCATTTCTTTAAAAATCCAAGCTTTGCTGGTGGTAACTCCTTTGCATGTAAGTGTTCACCAATCAACCAAAAAGCAGAAGCTTTACACTGCTTTGAATCCCACAATTACCCAAGATATCATTGTTACCAATGAAACTGAACTCCACTGGGAAGGAATGACTTTCTGACCTGTCCTTTTCAGCGATGCCTACAGTCAGACAGACAACCCCAGCCACTACAACCCGCGCAGCCATCTCAGTGTTAGGCTCCAAGCTATTGCAAAGTGCATTTTGTCAACCTTTCAACCGTCCAACCTCACTAAAATACACTCTATTATACAGCTGCATGTTTCTGTAAAACGCCCTACTCCTTAAGAATTTATTCACTCATTTAAAACAGTTTTAGTAGGTGGTGCAGAGATAAATAAAGTGAATGGTCATGGGAGCAAACCGTTAATGGGTGAGTGAAAGAGAAATTTGACTTTCTGAGCTGTCTCGTTTGCTCCTGGGGAGAGAGATGCAGACTGCTATGCTTTTCAGATTTTGTTTGCAATGTAGACTTAAGCTATGCCCAAGGTGCTTTAAGCATACAGAAAGGCGCCTCTTTTTCAATATTTATATAAATCTAGAGAAAATTAAATAAATAGATTAGGGATTTGCGAGGATACTCTCTGATGGAAAAGTATGAAAGCTTTAAATGTCTCCACTGGTAAATAATATGCTATTACTGCAACAACAAATACAGCTGTGCGGTAAATGAACTATTTTCCCATTACTGTTTTTTGGATGAAAAACGTGTGTTGAGAGCCATTGACATTTAGAGATCATGGAATAGATGGATGCACAGGCAAACAGAGTTTTGTTTGTAACAGAGGTCTAGTGTAACAAAGATCAGTTGTCCCATGTTGTTTCACAGCACTGCAGACAACACAGAGCATGCTTGGTGTGAAATGAAACTTCAGTCCAAATGTCACTTTCTGGATCGGGTTAAAAAAAAAAAAAACGTTTAGAGAAGTTCCATTATTCTGTCGTCCTCAGTGAAGATATGCCAACAGCCTCATTTTCTAATGGAGTGTTAATCACTGAGTACCTGAGGACATGAAATACAGTTATAAGCACTATCTCCACCATACAGAAAAGAGACTGGATCAGGGCGCTGCAGACAGAAGTCCTGAATTTTCTGCATAGAATCATGGAATGGTTTGGGTTGGAAGGGACCTTAAAGCCCATCTAGTTCCAACTCCCCTGCCATGGGCAGGGACCCCTTCCACTAGACCAGGTTGCTCCAAACCTCATCCAGCCTGGCCTTGAACACTTCCAGGGATGGGGCATCCACAGCTTCTCTGGGCAACCTGTCCCAGTGCCTCACCACCCTCTCCGGGAAGTTCTTCCTGATATCCAATCTAAACGTCCCCGCTTTCAATTTAAACCCATTACCCCTTGTCCTGTCACCAGTAGCAGTGGCAGCACTGGGGTGGTCTCACCCTTTTTCTCACTTCAGTTGGGATTCATTTTGCTTGGCTTTAGACACCAACATCTGAGCTTGTCACCCAAGGTCATCCCATAATCAGCAGAGAACACTAGGGCTCACCTGACCCAGGGCCTCAGAATGAGATTATGCACACTGCCAAAGTGCCCCTCCCTGGGTAAGGTGGGAGCACAGGCTGCTTGCTCAGACACCGTCACCTAAGGTCACGTGGATCAATCCCACTCAATGTGTGTACTGTTTTCTGGTATGAGATATAAAAAAGCATTTTTTTTCTCCAAGAACAAAGCAAGCCATTAATTCAAATCTAAAAATTATCATGGTATCAGACCCTGCTTACGTAAGCACTCTTCAGATTTTCAGACAATGTGAGCTGGACTTAATATTGCCAAGTTGTTCTGGATACAGACTCTTAGTTGTAACTACTAGAGCTCCTTAGGTTGTCTACTGCTCTTCAGCCGTTGCTTTACTACTCAGTTCCTTCTCTACCTTGAATTATCATAGGCCTCACTGCTGTAAAAAGAAAAATAAGAGGGGAACAAAAAAAAGGAAATAAAAAAGCCTCCCGAGTACCTAAACCCAGAATAACAGCCCTTTCTTCCTTCTCTGCTTATAGAGAGAAATGTGAACACTCACCACCTTTCCTCTTCCCTCCCAACTACCAGATTTTAGGACCTACTATGAAAAGGTCAAAAAGGGGTCTCAGCTTTCGTAACAAACACTATTTATTAAAAATTGCTGACTGCTGCAATAATGCCAACAACTGCATATAATTTTAGTTCAAGCTTCATAAAATTTTAAGGCTCAGATACCAAGCTAAAAATTCCAAGCAGTTATGAAGAGGTGTGTTTAAACAGTAGTCTACATTATTTGCTTAAAGGTAAGAAATAGATTTCAGTAAAATCTGACAACCATTCCTCCCCTGAACCTAGCAGAAAATGTGAAGACATTTGCAAGATTTCTCCACTCAGTTATTTATTTTGCATCGCTCCTTGGCCGGCTCTGGTTCCGCTGACTTTTGTACCAACTACAGCAAAATGAGAACAGCATGTACAGACATGAGGAAAAATGATATATGATGTTACGGCAAGTGCGAGAGCCTCATCCCACTCCAAATCTCATCTAAAAGCCTTCCCTCATGCCTAGCAGACCTGTGTTCAGTTTTCAATACTACATTAGGGACCCACAGAAGAGAAACCAGAACAGAGCAACAGACACCATCATGTGTTTTTATAAAACACCACCTACCTGGACTTGTGCAAAGTGTTTTGACACTGTCCCACAAGACATCCTTGTCTCTAATTAGGAGAGGCACTGATTTCACAGACGG